GGGATACAATGGGATCGTAAAATCTGTCATTGAACCTCAAAAATACCCACCTTAACATTCCCGGGGGGAAGAGGGAGAAGGAGGCCTAAAAATTTTAAATGGCATGTGGGGTCGAGTGAAGGCTCGTTTGAAAGGGCTTTTCGAGACGAGAACAACGCGGACTGACCGAGATCTCTACGATTTTTTTTCGCAGAGTTATGATTATTTGAAAATTGATATTTAGAAGAGTTACATCTCTTGTGTGTGTGTGTGTGTGTGTGCGCGTGCGCGCCTGCGTACGTGCGTGCGTGCGTGCTCGTCATCTTGGCTCATCTTTAATTGAATTGGTTTTTTCAAAAATAGTTGAAGCCCTTTCAAACAAGCCTTCACTCGACCCCATATGCCATTTAAGATTTTCAGGATCCCTTCTCCCCTCTCCCCACGGGAATGTTAAGTGAGTGTTTTTTTGAGGTTCAATGATAGATTTTACGATCTCATTGTATCTCTATAAATTTCAATCTTATATCTCGAACTATTCAAAAATTATTCAGGTGAACTTTTGGCGAGCATTGTACATCCAAAGTTTTCACATAGATGGACTTTGACAGATACACTACGTGGTTGTGATGGTTGAAGCGTCAATTACCACCACCACCACTCATATTCGTTATCATCTGTCTTTCCTCTAACAAGAGACCGGCTAGTATTCATAACCAACTGACTGCAACTGACTGCCAACGAACTTGTGAAAGACCTTCTCTACGAGACTTCGAACAATAAGTGATATCATGGAGCATCAAATCATCTCTTTCGTCAATTGATATAATTTGATACAAAATTGTCGTATTATCAAAGAGTGAGTAGAACTACATTCAGAAACTCGACACAAGTGCTCGAATGTGCAACTTCATCTTTGTTTTACGATTAATGAGTGATAAAAATAGAATGACGCACTGGAGCACTCGTGTAAAATTCCAAACACAGCCTAATAGTACAGTTTCTCTTCATTGTGCATTTAAAGTGTCACGTTATTATTCATGAACTTGCAAAAAATGATAACTAAAACGGTTATTAAAACGTTTATTTCTTAATTGTACGATGATGTATTTCACGTCAAAATACATAAATAATAATGATATGAGTTAATAATAGAAATTACAATATCAATAATATTTATAGTATTTATACACATGAAAATTTTAACTAACACATTATTAATGTTCAATTATATAGTATGAAAACATTTCCACTATAATCCGACTTAACCTTATCTTTATCGGTCTCACAAAAATGTCGTATCATCTTGTTTTCATTTCAGTTAACTGATGTTCTCCCAGGTGAAGTGTGATCAGTTGACGTAGTTACAACGATAGCAATTTGAATCATTACGTACATCAAAAATTACGTAAGACGACAAATACTCGAGTATAGCGTATATTCACACAGAACCGGTTGTGAGTTCACTAGATCAAAATGAAGATGTCGCTATTGATTTTCTTTGTGATTTTGGCTTTTGACCAAATTGCTAGCAGTTACCGAATTCTTGGTTTGTTCCCATTAAATGGCAAGAGTCATTGGAACATGCAAGAAGTACTGATGAAAGGATTAGCGAGACGCGGTCATCAAGTAGATGTGGTCTCGCATTTCCCACAGAAGAAACCAATACCTAATTACAAGGATATCAGTCTAAAAGGCACTACTCCAGAAGTTACGAACAATATGACCGCGACACAAGCACTAAGCTTCTCCACTCCATCTGTAGCCGCTTTGGTTCAGCAAGTCGGATCCATCACTTGCAATCTGTTCAGCCTTCCAAAGATACAAGAGCTGATCAAAAACCCGCCGCAAGATCCTCCTTACGATATCGTCATTATAGAGGTATGTCTAATGTTTTTGACTTATCTTCGGAAAACAAAACTGTCAAAAGATTATTCTTTACAACTTTATAATTATTTAAATATTCGTACTTTTGTAATTCAATGTTAAGTTAAATGTCCCTTTAAGTAAAATTCACTTATTATTAAATGCGAAATAAGACTTTAGTAATTATTCTGGAGTATCACTGAAACTTAATTCGCAAAAAAAAAGCTTTAGTCTCAATATTTTTACTAACAATATAACAATAAAAACGGGCAAATAAAAGTCGATTCTTTAAAATGTAAAGCATAAAAAATTCTTAATAGGAACTAAATACACATAGATGGTCATCTTACCCAAGTTCATCCTACGAAAGAATTAGCATAAGTAATCAACGCAAATAAGAAAATGGATATAACTTTGTTTGTATTTTTAAAATCATTATCGTGATAAGACAATATTAGCAAAAATAATCGTTTTCGTAAAACTTTTATCGCAAAATTACATAAAACGAACAGTAATCAGAAAATTGTATAAAAGAAGACTTGAATTTAATATGCGAAGATAATTAATAAAGTTAAATATAAAACGCGGTTAGAAAGCAAACATTACTTCATTAAACGAAATTTATTACCGCTTTTAACGAGATGTTAATTAACTGACATGCTTACAACTTGGCAAGTCGTTAATTATTCACTAATTATTAAATATTTATTACATACGACAGACAATATTGTATCTGATTTTATTAAAGTTACAGCATTTTACTAACAGAAAACAACTTTTAACACGGAAAATGTCGCCCTATTATCTCAATATAATGATAATGATAATTTCCCATCATAAAGCTATTAATTCAAATACTCTCTTACAATATCTAAATATCGAAATATCCAAGTATTATATAAATTGTCGATTTTATAAAATAACTCGAACCGTTAAGATTCTTATGACTATGCATTTTTCATGAAAATTTTTTCGCTACCACAATTCTTCAGCGCTTGTACGTCAAGTTTTCCGCACTAATTAATTCCTATAAGTTTTTAAGTTATGCGATGCATCTGTATAACATTCGGTTATAAATAATCTTAAATTAAATTTTAGATATTGTGGCGGAAGAACGGAAGACATTAAAATATGATCCATATTACAAATATTCGCACATAAATTCTGAGTCATATATATTATGCTATTATATATAATTAAAACAACAAATAATATATCACAGAAAGACTGCATAATTTATTAAAATGAATTAATTAAATTGAATTCCATTTTGGTTTAATAAATCAAATTAGAAATTTTAATTAATTAATTTGCATTTTCATTCGATTTAACTTTATTATGTCTATATTTATTCACTATTGTATATAATAAATTAAGTTAAGATAACGAAAATGACATAGCTCTTTTAAGAAGCCTATTCGTTCTAATTGTGTCTCCTTGCGCTTTCTGCGTTTAAAATGGAACTGTTATATATTCATGCTTTATAGAGGGAGAATGAGGAACGAAACAAAGCAGAAAGAGCAACTATAACGAACAGATGTAATGACACGTGAAATTGCCACACTCAATATAATAAACCGGGAAGCGTTTGAATCTCGATATGAGTTGTATGATACTTGTTGCGTTAGGTTATTCAATTCGCCTCATTCAATGAATATCACAGTGTTTAGAGGTTCTAACGAGCTTTTACCTGTTTTCGAATGATTGAATGCGAAATAATGGCTAAATGAGTCAGGAATAGACTACGTGTTAACTATGTATTCGTAACACGAAGATAATACTTTCCAATTGTGAAAGATGTAGCATGATCAACGTTAATGTGTAATTAAACAATCAGTTAGTAAACCTTTCAGATGTTAAAAAACACTACTTTCGTGAAAAAATTCATGAAAAATGCATAGTTATAAGCCGAGTTCTAACGATTCAAATCGCCTCGCAAAATCAGCAATTCTGATGCATAACTTTGGCATGATAGTACATGTTTGTTTTTGTCACTTGGTTTGATCGTCATATCTATTTTTCTCTCATCGCCATGTGTAGCCGCGTGGCATAATGGTAATTCGTTTCTGCTCTTTATGAGTAATATCTCGAGGCAACATCGCGTCAAGGTCTCTTTGTAACTAAACTGCATTGCTAAACGACCAGTGATCCAAGCGCTACCGCGCATCTTTACCCGGAACAAGTGTTCGGTTTGACTGTACGCACGTACGCACTCAATATCACGCGAGTGATTACAAAATGTAACTTATTGAGCACGAATAATTAATTAATTGACAATACACGCAGCTGTTCGCAGCTCCGTGCTACATGGCCTTCGGCCGTCATCTCAAAGTACCCATGGTCGGCACGGTAGCTAGCGTTTTCCATGATTGGCTCTCTGAGGTGTCCGCCAACCCGATGAATCCATCTTATATCCCGAATATGTTCTCGGGATACAGCCAACACATGAATTTCAAGGAACGTTTGACAAATTTCCTAACAACCCATTATCTCTCTTGGGAATTTCATTATCATACAAATAAACAATTGAAATTGGTAAATGAGCACTTCGGCATGAACTTGCCACATATCACGGATTTATACAACGATATATCTTTATACCTGGTCAATTCTCATCACTCGTTAAATGGAATCAGACCGATGGTCACTAACGTGATCGAGGTCGGTGGTCTGCATCTCAGCGACGAGGGTGATCCGCCGTCACCGGTATGTTTCAACATAAATAACTTTTTTCCTTATTATTCACAAAGCGTTCTTTCTGGATACAATGAAACCTGACTAGAATCAAAATCATTTTTTTATTGGTAAATATATAGTTTGATTTTCTCCTTTCGTTCAAGATCAAATAAAAAATAAGAAAAAATAACTGCAGTTAAATAAAATGATTATTTTGTGTAGAAAATATATAAAATTTATTGTTCAAATAAACAGAACGTGATATTGATAAAAAAAATAAAAAATAATATTTTATACGTACAAAAGTAAAATATATAAAATATATTTTTATTAAATTTTATTAAACTTATTTATTCATGTGCAATGTGCGTATTGAAAATAAACTTGTTCAGATTCGACATTAAATTTTTATTAAATATACAAAAATATTCGATGTTTCATTAATAATTATTATATATGATTATGTGTGTAACAATTATGATAAATATAGAAATATGAATACTTTTTCGTTGCATATTTAATAATTTTATTCAATACTTTTTTATTAAAATTTTTTTTTTCAACTACATCTCATATTTTCTTGCAAGAAATATTTTAAAAATATGCTTGTTTCAAAATTTCTTGCGTTTAAAAATATGCCTCGTATATCCAGGAAGAATTATGTAACATCATAAATTATATGCTCTAAAGAAATATACGTATATAGGAAGTGCAAAAATGGTTGGACGAAAGCAAGGATGGCTGCATCTACTTTTCATTCGGTTCTATGGTGAGGATTGAAACTTTTCCTAAGGAACTGTTGCAACAAATTTACGCATCTTTCGAGAAAATCGCACCGGTTCGTGTACTGATGAAGATCGTAAAAAAGGAAGAGCTATTACCAGGTTTACCGAAGAATGTCATGACGCAATCGTGGTTCCCACAGATCGCCGTTCTCAGTACGTAATTATCAACTGGTCACACATCAGAGCATCAAAATAACTAATTTCGTTTCGTCATATAATTATTTTTAGAATTATTTTCAATATAAAAAGTTCACAGGATTTGCATACTACAGCAATAAAATATTTGTATATAAATTGAGTATCCCCAAAAATCGCTCTCCGTATTTTCTCATGATAGAAATTTTCTAATTGTGTTGACAGTTACTTTATAATATATTCAAAAAGTCGCGAAGAATGCGTTTGCAAAATATGTAATTTTGAAATTTAGCTAGTTACGTTAAAAAGAAAATATTGTGTACAGTTGGAAAAAAAATGTACTACTTTTATCATATTCAGAAAAGAAATTTTTTGAACTAGTTTTAAAAATTGTTTAAGATAAAAATCACACTAATTAAATCAAGTTCCTAAAACATTGAAATAAATAAAAATCAAATAATTGATTTTCTAGGAAGATATTCTATATTATCTTTTAAATCATTGTTTTATCTATGCACGGTGCTCAATCATATAATATTTTCACAATAAAGAAAAAAACAGCATCGCTATGAATTTCAGAGCATAAAAACATACGAGCTTTTATTACACATGGCGGGCTTCATTCGACACAAGAAACAATCTATTGCGGAGTTCCTATGATTGGAATTCCCCTATTTGGCGATCAGCGTGTCAACATTAAAAATTATGTTAATAAAAAGGTGGCTATTTCGTTGAATTCAGTAAACAATGTTACTGAGGAGAAATTAACTTCGGCAATAAATAACATTCTGAAGGATTCCTCCTATCGGTAAGTGCTCAAAGACTATTAACATCGGAAAGCTTAAACATTGTACAGTTGTCTGTTAATTGTAATGTGTTCAACTGGGTTTAATGGAATCATAACATTGATCGCGAGAGAGATTACAAACACAGGACGTACCTGTGCTGAATTCACAAGATGTTACATTTAGTGATCGTGCAATAATAACGTTATAATTTTATATCTTTTATACATATACTTACACACTAAACATAATCAATAGGAAATAGGAAATAAAAGCCTATAAGAGTCGAATCTTTAATGTTTAAATAATTCAATGTGAATTTGTATACACTATATATGCACATGCATATATACTATATTTGTAGTCATTTACTGTGCACCGAGTTAATTTTTCCGAATTTTGAAAACACAGGCTAAACTTTTGTAATAATATCACAATTAAATTTTGATACTCAGTAGGCATCTGTTAAAGAGATCTTAATATGCTGGGAATCTGTATATATAAATAAATTTATTTATTGCGAAAAATATTACCTCGGCCGGGAGTCGAATCCGGATCTCTAGTATTCCGTGCGAGCGTCCTAAGCCTTTTGATCACTGAGGCCTTAGTAATATTTTTCGCAATAATCAGTATATATATGGAAATAATTAGTAGATTTATGTTTTTTTATTAAAGTCTTTTAGCCTTTTTTATTTCTTTTTATATGTCTATTATATTTGTAACTTCATTTATTATTACTTTCAGAAATAAAATTTTGTTTGCATAAAAAAATGTGATTTTACTATTGTTAGTGTTAATATAATAACATTGTGCAACAGTCAAATGAACTTCAGAAGTCAAAATTCACTGCTTTAAATCTTATTAGCCATTTATTGATCCGTAACCGGTTGCATCGTTCCATATCGCGGAATAAACAGAGCGTGTGCTCTCTATTGTAACCAAATCTTGCTTTACTCTCCAATGCATATCGTGAGTCAATTCTAATCAATTGGTATGTGCTTTAAATTCCACGTCCATTTCATCTGCATGAATCCACATGAAATACGTTTTACGCGTAAATGTTAAATAATAAGAGCAAACGCTTTAACCAGGACAGAATGGATGAAAAAAGAAATAAGAAAAATGTGAAATCTATGTAAAAATTGTGCACTGTTACAGTTAAAAACAATTAAAATTTCAGCGACGATTCAGCGTCGAATAAAAACATGACGTGATTAAAAATGTTGCTCATTACGAACTTCTGAGTTTTGCTATAATTAATTTCGTCTGTAAACATCAACCCCGTTATACTGACCGTCAATAAACGCTTCTCTTCGTTTCAGTGAAAATGTCCAAAAACTATCGAAGCTGTTCCTCGATCGACCGATGGGGCCCTTGGATACAGCTATATTTTGGGTGGAATATGTAGCGAAATTCGGAAACGTGCTTCAATCACCAGGAATTAAACTCAATTGGTGGCAACGGAATCTAGTGGATATTTACGGCTTTATATTCACCGTAATTATTATAGTGCTTTATATCGCGCTATTTATTCTCCGAAAATTAAAGAAACTCTTGTTCGGATCGGGCGCTTGTGCAAAGAAGGACAATGCAGCAATGAAATTGAAGAAGAATAAGTGAACATGCCGTATTTTGATAAATTAAACACCTTAGAGATCATTATCTCCTCGATATGTACAAAAAAATATTTTAAATAAATGTTAAAAACAACGTTCTTATTTCACGTTGTACATAGTGTTTTAATAAAATATATATTTAGTTTAATTACAATTTGTATGTATATTTGCATGTGCGGGCTTCGACACATGCATCGATATTCAGGCGTATAACGCCACAATTTCATTGTTTCCTACCATTTGTCAACGGGCTTGTGTTAATAATAAACGAACCGTCTAATCTAGAAAAATCCGATATATTAATGTGCAATCACTATTAACCGATTGAGTACCGAGATAAAGCAAATAGGCCTGATAAAGTACGCGATATGTCGCATTGCATACAATAAAGGCGCATTGCGTGCGTTTTCTGCACAATTTTACTCGCCATTTTTGCTCCTGCAGTCGATTTCGCTTATTTTCAAACATGAAATACTTTACCCGTCGGCGGCAGCGTCGCGGCTTTCAGCTTCATGCATTCTTGCTCACGTTCCAACAGAATTCGACGAAGTTCCTCGTCGAGTAGCGTGCTACCCTGCACCGTTGTGTTTCCCGGCATCTGTTCGGCAAACAACGCGTGGAATATTAATGAATTGCAGTCGCAAATGTAAGATAAGTTATAAACGTCCGGTACACGTTACGGCATAATTTGACTATGTAACGTACGGCTATTTAACATGCGTCACAATCTACAACTACGATAGAAACATGAATGTAGCTTTCGTTAATATTTTACGTTAATTAGAACCTTTCTTAGAAAGAAAGCACTAAGAACATTATTATATCAAGACACTTTAGTTTTATATATCATAATAGAAATTAATTTGAACTAGAGATTATCTCAAACACCTCAATATAATATATTAGTTTCTAAAAATAGTTCCTTAAGCATAAGATCGATTTTATACATCAAAAGCATTGGAATCTTCGGAAACATAAAATATGATAAAACTTCGCACAAAAAATATCTCTATACTGAAATTATAAAATTGACATTCCGTGCTTTATTGTCCCGAGCTACTTCTATATTTTCACTACATTCCAAATATTTTCTGCATTCGACTATATTAGCTTCCGATATTCATCACAACATCGACAATTTGTCGATTATTCGCTTCGAAAGTCATCACTTCAATTTTATCGCGCAAAGCATGACTGCAGTGAAACTTTGCAGAATGGATATAAATCGTCGCCGTTAGAGATTTCAACGCATTATTGAGGAAATCATTTCATTGGACTACGATATGACCCGTAATAACTTTATTGCATAGAAATGAACGTTATTGCATCCGGTCGAGGTGTCGCGACATGAAATAATGAAGCAGAACGTTTTATGACAAAGCCGCTTTATCACTGAGCGAAGAAGATCTCGATTCTCAGTCGGGATACTCGTAAAATTTTGTCGTACAAATGATCATTATACATTGTAGTTTAGATATTAATTATTCCCGACCGCAAGAATATGCGTCAAAAGAAATCGTTTGTGACACAAATATTAATTTATGATAGAAAGTATATTTTTTAAGTACGATTTTCTGTGAAACGTACGTAACTTTTTATATATTGATATTAAAATATTGAGGCACAATGTAAAATGCTCAAATTATATTTACTTTAATTAACTTGTATTAAAATAAAGTGTGTGTAATATAAATTTTATGTATAATTTCACTTTTGATTTTCACCTCATTTTCACAAAAATAAAATCCATATTGTACACGTAATTACTAGCATTGTTATAGCTTGAGGTGCAATCAACATAAAAACGCATTATTGGCATGCTTCAGAACGTCGTAAATAAACGTGCAGTGCCTAGCTGACAGACGTTATCGGCTTTGCAGTGCGTACATTTATTATCCAGTCAACAGAACTCCACTTATTCATTAATTAGTTAGTTTGTACGGTAATGCCATGTATACCTGAATATCACATACGGATTACGTTGCGAGCAGATCTCGATGAACAAAAGCTCTTATTTATTTCCGCAACGAATAATTTATTTTATCGAGTATAATCATTGACATATATAACTTCAGTATTATATACTTCTTATAAAAAAAGAAAATAAGATAAAAATAAAATATTTACATTGTTTAGATTATATATATGTATTATAATTTTAATCTCGTAAAATATTGTTAGCAAATAATAGAACTAATGCATTATCTAAAATAAATTTATATTAGCAGAGAAACATTTAGTATTGCACGATTAAAATTATATTAATAAAAAAATATTTTAATAAAAAAATATAATGAAAAATTCAGTTCGCTATAAAAATATCAAATATTTTTTCTGTGAAAACAGAACATTAAATCTCTACCGGGAACATGTATTTTTAATGTAATTTTTCTTCTATCACTGCGTTTGTAATTATAAACTGTAAGTAAACCATTTCCAAACCACGTTCAATAAATACGAACGGCAAATATCGATAATTATTCGCGAAAAATCGACGATTCCCATATCTCATAAATGTGACATGGTTCTCCTAAATCAAACAGAGCGGTAAATAGCGAACCGTCAATTAACATTCAATTAAACACATCCGTGTGCCAGAAGATTCGTATGCATTTACATTTCACTGAAATTTCACGCCACGCCAAAAAAGCATGTGTATATACCTAGATCACTGGTATTTTTACGGTAATAATAACACCACTTGAGAGAGAGAGAGAGAGAGAGAGAGAGAGAGAGAGAGAGAGAGAGTATGAAACAAGATATTCATGCGATGTAAAAACCCGGCTCACTTTAAAATTGATGCAAAGTAAAACAAGATATAAGTGCGCGTTAATGGTTTTAATGTAAGTGACTGAAAAACAATTGAATACGAAAGTATTTTCACACAGCAATTAAAAGCGTTTTATTGGAGGTTTTCGACCAATTTATAAAGCATTATTGTTAACGAACTGAATTCTAAAAGAGATCGAGCATGCAGAATCCTCGTGTGCCATCACATTTTACATATATCATATCTTTTGTTACAATAGAAAATTAAATTACAATAGAAAACATACATCATTGTCCGCATTTTTGGTGATTGAAATGCGCTACATGTACGGATGGTGGGAGGAAGAGAATGGTAATTGAAAAACCAAAGTAAAACGAAAATAAAATTGAGTGAGATCAAAACCGAAAGTAACAAGATTTCGATGTTCAATTATGGAGCAGGCTTTTCTATTTTAATACTGGTACAGTCGTCTCGCTAACTCAATGCCGAGGCAATCACGTTTTTTTAAAAAAAAACCTTAACCCATATTTCTTCACCACACATACATCGCGTTAAATATAGTTGATCCATTCTGAGTTTTATTTGAATGAATATCGAATAACCGTGCCTAACGAGTGACTTTTGTCAGTCATTCGTATTCTAATCGTATATATTTAGCACAAGATATTTTTGCTCGATTTTTATCTCCCGATAATATCGATATCAACATTACAAGTTAATCAATTTCAAAGAGTCGCGAGCTTCAAAATTAAATAATTAACACTAATTGGTAAGAAAATAAGTCTTTGTTTTGTTGTGCTTCGAAACAAATAGCGAGTATCGAGGAATGAATTGCTCTTAAGAAGTCAGTAGTATAAGAGTTTTTATATGTGCAGTAAATAAGAATTATCGTTAGTTGCAACACGTGGAGGAATGTGTGCTCTAAGAGATCACGCTCTTATCTTACGTCAATGCTATCTAGTTTATAGGTAATTCACAATATAATGCTACGTGCACGCTACACTAGCAAGCACTACTCCTATCTAAAAGTTGACCGTTGCTTTTAGCAGTGATGCTCGTAATAATAAAGATATATATGTATATGTATGTATATAGGACACGCCCGTAAAGTTGCCATCAAGCCGCAGTAACGTAAGCTTTCATAAAATAGCTACGTTTCTTTTAAATTTCACGCTAGAAAACGCATAAATACTGCTGCATAAGCTCAGAAGGAATGAACAAACGATAAATTACAAAAATAGCATATTAATCAAGTAAACATAAAATCATATAATACAAAGGCATTTTCTTCTGTGCATAAATGATATATAATATTAAATTTTAGATTTGCCGTTTATGTAGGATGACGAAAACATACTACAATAAACGAGATAAATTTTCTATCAAGTGCTTTCGTAAAATCTCTTGTTTTAATGAGGAAAGTACGACGTATACTATTGTTCCATCTACTGGTACATGTATAACCGTGATTTATCGTTTTCCGCTTGCGTTATTCAGTTTATAAATGAATAAAATTCCAATTTAAAGTCCGTCGGTATATGCTTTAAACTAAACCCTTTTTATATAAATGAATAATAGACAGTATTGCACGATAAATTAATTAAAGTTCGGATTCAGATAGCATTATAATTAAAAAATATTTAGAATAAATAATCAATCCAAACAGTTTTACTAAATTAATAAATTTACTAAACTTCAACTTTTTAACAATCCGAGATATTTTTCATCTCTATCATGAAAAATTTCAAATTGGCTAATCTCGAGGCACGTTTCAATCAAGTTATTTCAGGAACAATTTTTGTTTGCAAACAAAAATGAAAAAAATATCTATTATTTTAAGTATGATAAGTAAGTAATTTTCATTAATATTATATAAAATTATACCAAAATACTTCAAAATAAATTTTATTTTCTAAATGTTAAAAATTTTCACTGAAAGTAGCACTGCTTAGATAAATTGTTCAAGAAATAAAGATATGGAAATAAATTCTGTTTTTCTAATTCAGATACATCAAATGTCATTCATATTTATAAACAGCTAGATCCAGCTTCATGAAATCTATAAGTCTCATAATTTAGAAAAAAAGAATAAGAACGGATGAACGTTGTTTTTATAATAAATGATCCAATGGATGTTTCCAACGCGGCAAAGTCCGCGCAATATTAAAGTGCAATTACTAATATTATAGAGTGGCGGTTCACGGTCGTACTATTTTTTACGAGCAATCCTTCAGTATAATACTT